TTGAATATCCCTTCAAATATAACTGTTGCAGTTGTAGCGAGAATGATGAAAATGCATCTCATCTGCTGTTTTTTTTTTTCCAGCTCATGCATGGCGGTGACTCACTACCACAGCGGCCCTCTTCTTTAGGAACCTTGATCAACTATAATACCTTCCAGTCAATAGCGTTGTAAACTTTTCCAAATGTTCCAGGTGGTTTTAAACTCTGAATTTTTCCATTATATGATAGCACAAAGGGCCAATAGGTCTAAGTGGATTCAATTGGATTGTCAAAATAACACAAACTAACTTGAGTGATGTCTAAAATTTCGCAAAATATCTAAAGATTCCCAGAGACTCGATTTTACCTTGACGGAGTTACGGGCACTGTTTAACGTCATTCGGCAGAGTTGTATTAATTTTGCAGAGTCGGATTTTAGGGCTACCGAAATCAAACATTGCAGCGTAAACTCAATCTTTTATAAGGTTATCGAAAGCTGTTCTCTAATCGACAAAAAGTAAGTCGATCTTCTTTCAGCAAAAAATGTCGACATAATAATATCAATATGAAATCAACAATTATCAGTTGAGTCTCTCAAATACATGCTCGGTTGGTCATTATCAGAAGAAGTATAAAATTGCTGCGACCATACTCTATACGACTATCTGTATAATATGATAACAAAACATAGTTTTGTTTAAAATTTCTTAATAAATTCTAAATTGATGAATTTAATAAATTAACAAGTTCTTTCTGCTAAATTCTATAAATTTAGATGATGTAGACTCTTTTTTATTTTATAAATTGAATATCACTTAAAGTAGTCAAATAAAATTCTATTAATTTTAAATAATATTATCTAAAAATCATAAAGGAACAGATATCGCTTAATCATTTTCTATACTAAATTGCTCTGGAAAATATATATTCCAATGATCGCCGTCACCAATTTTATCCCATTTTAAAACTTTTAGTAGAATTAACGTCCTCTCCATTCAACAAAGTGCAAAGGATTGAATAAAATAACAGAAATAGAGAAATAAAATTATATAAAATAAATTAAATAAATTGATATATGGAATAAAATAATATAAAAAAGCAATAAAGTTTAATATAAAATAAATTTGATTATTGGTAGTGTATTTTTATGCAAAATATTCGTTTTTTATTTCAGTTTCGATACATTAATTTATTTTATGGTATCTTCTTTCTGACCAGTTCACGTTGGTTCATATCAGAGGATTTATTACTGTAACCTCACCTCTAAAAGATCATCGAAACGAGATGCGAAATCAATTTTTGTGTCTAAAAACAATGAACAAATTATTGTGAAGACAACGTTATAACTTAATAATTTTTATTTTTAATATTTTTCCAATATTTTATAAATTTTTATTTATTAATTTTAATTCGACTAATATAATGTGGAAAACATTTTTAATTGCACAAATCGCATTTTGTGTTTTTATTAAATTCATATGTTGCTTTGGTTGTTAAACAAATTGATCTCATTAATAATGTTTTAATCATTCGCAACATGGAGCCCCAGCTCCGTCTAAAACCAGCGAGTTATCGAGCAGCGAGTTATTCGCTGCTTTGCATAACGAGTTTTGGATTTGCAAAATTTTTTGGACGAATATGCAAATAATGCGGGTGGATTGGCCTTCACGATTTCGTGCATAAATTAAAAACTGTAAACAAAACATCTCTTTTTATGGCCTAAAGAAGACACAAATTGATCGTTATTATATCCACTAAATTAGTTTGATAATTAGGTCTTTAACATTGTACCAAGAAGATGCAAACACTAAACAAAAATAATTTTGGCACCAAAAATGATCAAAATTGTTATAATCTTCTCTGAGGCGTTTATGCGAATTTTATTATTATTTGTTTTGCTAATTTTTACTTATTGACAACTATAGACTTGTAAATGTTAATAATATTTTATATTTCTTTGTCTTCGTGTATGAGTTTATATAAATTCTTTTAAAAGTCATTAAATTAAATTTTAAAATTAAATTGCATTTTTTACCTTCTGTCGGCGTCAACTTTGGGTTTCGGATTTGTTCTGCTGATATCGTTCGCATCTTAAACAAGACCAAAACAGTTTCTAGTTTTTTATGTGGAAGATTATTCAAATTTTCAAATAAAAGTGAATTCGTACATATTTGTGACGCAACAAAAAATTCGTTGTGCTCGAACAAAAAATACTAGTTTGCTACTTAAACCAAGAATTCTGCTTGACCTGTTTACCAAAAAAATAGATACGAAACAGAAATCATTAACATCAATCCATTTTTTGTTTTATATAAAAAGGTCAGTTCTTTTTGGTTCATCATTCTACAGTTGCCATTCGAAAAAGTAACACTTAACAAACCAAGATGCGTGCATTTATCGTACTCGGATTGATTGCGGTCGCCTGCGCTGACAAGTTGGGCTACAATTATAGACCAGTTGGTCACTCAGATTCAGGTCTATCATTTCAACCAGGTTCTGGTGGTTCCATTGGCGGTGGATCAATTGGCGGCGGTTCCCTTGGTGGAGGTTCTCTTGGTGGCGGATCAATTGGTGATGGATTACTTGGTGGTGGCTCATTAGGCGGTGGCTCACTCGGTGGTGGTTCACTCGGTGGTGGTTTACTCGGTGGTGGATCACTCGGTGGTGGTTCACTCGGTGGTGGTTCACTCGGTGGTGGTTCACTCGGTGGTGGCTCACTCGGCGGAAATGGTGTCAGTTCACTCGGTGGTGGAATCGGTGGCCCAACCTCATACAATGCACCAGCTCCATCCGCTGAATGGGAAAAGGAATTCTACTCTTTCTCAGCACCTGAAAATGAATTCAATGACGATAATGCCGCACAAAGAATTGCTAGTTCTTTGAAGAAGAACTTACGTGTAATTTTCATTAAATCACCAGAAAACAAAGGTCTTGAAAACGCTGCTCTCAATTTGGCCAAACAAGCTGCTGATCAACAAACTGCCATCTATGTTCTCCACAAACAAGCTGATGTTGGTGATTTGGCTAATAAACTCAATGCGATCCGCAACAACAACAACCAACGTCCAGAAGTACACTTTGTCAAATATCGCACACCAGAAGATGCCGCTAATGCTCAACACGCTATTCAATCTCAATATGACTCATTGGGTGGAACTTCTCAAGCTCACAATGGTGGTGTTGCTCCAGTACTCAACTTTGCATCACAAGCTCCAGTTTCTCATTCAAATCCCCAATCTCCTGGTAATGCATACTTGCCATCTTCTATCTTCCGTCTACGCTTTTAAACTATAAACAATTGAAAGGATTTTTGTTTATTAGAACTGATATTTGTTATTTTTGTTATTGTGTTTGAAAAAAAATAAAAATTTATAAAATTTAAACAATTTGTATTATTAACATTGTTTATGACAAACTTTTTTAATATATATAATATATATGATACTCATTTTCGTGCTGTGCAAATATGGAGAGATATATATATTAGTATATACCATATCATTAGTTGGTAAAGCAAAAAAAAAATGAAGTTGGATTTAATGAAATAAGTATGGTTAGATCAATCTCAGTAGTAATAAAGTAGAACTAAAAAGTATAGAAATTAGAAATTAATATAGAAATTAATATAGAAATTAATATGAAATTGACAAATATGTGAACTTTTATTATATTTTGATAATATAAATAAAAGTAGCGTAGGGCATTATGCTCTATTTCATTTAATAATTTAAAGTAATTTGCGACATGATGGCTTGATATATTATAGCAGAAATTTCTATATATTTGTACTTTATTATGTTATTTTTTCCGTTAATTATATTATTCAAACTTTCAAGCCTATATGAATGTTTGTGTTAAGATATATAATAATATATAATACATATATAACTCATAAAACTTCAAAGTTTTGTAGTGAAGAGAAAGAGACACGCATCTTCGCTGAAACATCTTCATCCATTCTTACGACATGACCAAGCCAGTGAAGGCATTAAATCATATCATACCGCTGAATAATATCAATCTTGTAATAAAATCCATAGAACTCGGGATTCATTCGAATGCGGTGGTCGTCGTAACTTGTAGAAGACTAAACATCTTACGAAAAACTTTTCTCTCGAAAATTCCCAGTGTTGCTTCACCATTCTGTGATAATGTCCATTCTTCTGTGCCATACAGAAGTACAGGTAGTATAAGCGACCTATAGAGCTTAAGTTTTATGGGTCAAGAGAAAGCTGCACATCCCAATTGGATAAATAAATAAGTTTCCGTAATGTAGGTACAATATTACAAGTAATTAAGTATGTTGGAATTGACACATTTAATAAATATCCTTTATTATTAAATTTATATATTGAATCTTCACTTATAGAGAAAGCCAATATGTATTTAAATTTTAAAAATTCTTACCGGCACATTAGAAAAAAATAGATGTAGACAATTACAAGTTATCTACATTAAGACTGAAAAGTTTTCGGAAATTCTCATTTAAAATTCGCGCGCTGTATATTTTTCGATATTTTAAGTTTATGTAGTTTGGCAGCACTGTCCTTAATTTCTATGCCAAAAATGAGCGCGATCTGTCAGACAGTTCGTTTACGGCAGCTGTTGAAACCAGTTCACCTCAGTAGTGCGTTGCGAAATGTCTTCGACCGTCGTACGACCGTCCTGAAAGGCCTTGTACCATCATAAATTGAGTTTCGATTAAAACTGATTCCCCATAAGCTTTTTGTAGCATTCGCAACGATTCTGCACACGAAATCGTTCGAAACACAGAAATTTGATGCAAGACTTTTTTTCAATATTTTTTTCCATTTTTTTTTTCGCACACGCACTACTGAGGTGAACTGTCAACAGCTGCCGTAACTAACTGTGTGACAGATCGCGCTCATTTTTTGCATGTAATTTAGGACAGTGCTGCCAAACTACATAAACTTAAAAATATCGAAAAATATACAGCGCGCGAATTTTAAATGAGAATTTCCGAAAACTTTTCGGTCTTAATGTATAATAGATAATTCTAAGTTTTTTAATTTCTACTTATTAATTTTTTTTCTGATGTCATAAAATTGCTGAGTGATCAGCAAAAGTAGGAGTGACAATACTTATCGTATTGGGAGAATATTTCAAATAGATAAGGTTAGGTTAGGTTTAAGTGTAAATCTCCACGTAGATCGCCAATTGGTATGTCGCATTTCCTTAGCGCAATTCATTTAAGACGGCACTCTTAGGGATATGTTCAGTAAAGGGTTTTAAATGACACGTGAATCCTTGATTATACAGTTACCTGAATCACTTAATTCAATATTTTTTTATTGAAAATTTCTTTACAAGGTTTCCGATATTAGCTTCTGATGTTTCTTTGGAATTCAATTTTTTGAATAGATCACCAGTTACAACACTTGTTCTCTGAGTATGCCATGTCTACTGTAAATAAAATTGAACCCAGAAAGCTTCCTTGTAGAACACCAACATTAATAGCTTTACTTACAGTAAAATACCTCGTTTGTTGTTAGCAATCCTATATATTATATATTTGAAGGTAATAACTATCTGATTTTTGGAATAAGCTCGTCATGCTAGGCTAGACTAGAGTCATAGTCTACCAAAAGCTTGCTTAATGTCGAGAAACACTGCAGTACTTCCTAAGCACTGCAGTACTATGTTGTTTAATGATCGACTTATTTGTTCATGATTTTCCTTTAAATCAAACTAATGAGAATAGATTAAATAACTCTCGTTGATTAAAGCCTGCAGCTTTGTCTGGCGATAAAGATTATTGCTAAGAAATGAAGGCGTGGTAGCATTTTAATTGTGATTCATTATTCTTTGATGCTTGTTGTGATCAAATTAACTTCAAATTGTTCTAATAAGATCACTAGAGATGTGCATTTTTATATATCACACACATTTTAAAGGCAAGGAGTTTATGACCATTAAAACTTCGTGAAATGAACCTTTACCATATATATCAAATAGTGTTATTTTTACATATATATTATTGTACGCCAGTTATAATTTTCCATATCAACCTTAATAAACGGTTTTAGCTACATAGTTTAAATTACTAACCATCAATAAATCAATCAATAGGTTTCGTCTATGAGCTTTAGAGGGTCTGCAGTTTTTTTAGGTTTTGTATATCTAGGGCAATTATCTATATTTCTGCTGTAAGTATCGTGTCTAAGCTCTGATTGCAGCTACTTCATTTATATCAAAACCTGCAGAAAAGAAAGGAATAGAAATCATATTATGACATAAATCAATTCTTTAAATATCTATTGACTATTCAATATTACTTGCATTCGGTATATATTCTTTCATATATATTCTTATTAAATTGAAACTCTTAATACTTTAATAATACGGAAATTAACTCAGTCAGGAAATTCAACGGAATTATTTCAGTATTTTTTCTTCGATTTCGTCATTTATGATTATAACATTTTGTGATCTTAAAATATATTTTATACATATATTTTGTTCGGCTTCTTTCATGTTTATGATCATATTTTTTTTTTTAAGTATTTAAAATTTTTTTTATTTATTTCCAATGCTTAGTGTATTTGCACAATAAATAGCATTAATATATTCAAATATTAATGATTTTGTAAAATTATGAACAAAATTAAAAAGCGGTAAACTCCATTCATAAAATTTAAGTCAAAGTTGAAGATTTATTTTTTTGCTATTCAAACAGAAATATATATCAAACATAATAAGAGCTTCTGATATTAAGTAATTGCATACAGGAAAAAAACCCAAAGATTATGAGATTACATGTACCTATACCTGCAGTAAATGGTGTTCGCCAAGTATATGGACTTTCTAACTGAAACACCATTAAAAAGCATCCGATACCACCTTAGAGTTAGCGGTTATTCTTAATTATTTTCAGGCTTTTGACATTCATGGTAGTGTTCTGCACACTCAATGGAATATAATACAATACAACACCAAATCGATTTTTTTTTATAATCAAATAATTTAAATAATAACCAATAATAAATAACTCTTCTTCAATAATTTAAACAAAAGTTTTGACCAAAAGGAAAAAGTCTATATTCTCACAGACAGTCAGGCAGCTACCAAAGCGAATTTATGTATCAGTCCGCATATTGTTTGAATTTAATAGGTAGCAGTTCCAAGGCACCTTCAGTTTGGCATCTCAGGCATGCAAATATAGTAGAAAATAATGACGCCAACAAAACTCGGTGCCTCTGCAATAATGTCTGATGTATAATCTCTATTTTGGCCAATTATAATCGCAGATTGATGTATAATTATTTTCATGTAGGTCAAGCGCAACAAGTTCCATATACTCTGAAATTAAAACTTCAGACATATTCCACAGGCAATAGTAAAATTGAATCTCGAAATAATCCATATTCCATTAAAAATAATGATTGATTTTTACGACATACTGAATTATAGAACAAACGGTAGCTATAGTAACCCTATTGTGTCGAAATTGCTGTAGATCTTAGGTGCCGATGCTCAAAAAAGAGATACCAGATTATATTTTGTCTCACTTCATATCCACGCTTAAGGTAATCGGAACTAGTTCTTTAATTCGCTCAACGATGTAAACGACATTTACTTTACAATATTTGGTTATTTTCGTTAGTTGTACTCTTTCCACTGGTTCCGAAATTCTCAACTGATTAACCAAAACTACAAAAAATATTGAACCAAAACAGCCTTTTTAGCTAATTAAAAAATACCGACTTCATTTACACTTTATCCACCTATCTATCTAGACGCGTATTGTAATTTTCAACCTAATGGCCTCCATGCCATTAATTTTTTGTGGATTTAAAACAAGCACAGAATACATCGTGGAATAAAATCAACGCAAAAAATCCCAAACTTGCAATAAGTTTTAATATATTTAAAAATTGTTAAGCGATCTATAGATCAAATGGCAAACCTAAAGCAATTGATGCTTTGGATGACAGTTCCGTTTAATATATATCACTGAACCTGTACCTCAAAATCAGTATCAGTAAATGTAAATTTTTTTTAACTGGATTCCGAACTGTTACATTTTAATACAAAGTAAAGTTAATAAATACAAAAAAAATATTTATTATTGAAATATTCATTAGTTTTGATCTATATCTTAAACACCCCTCTTCTTTTCTTTTTTTTTTTATTTTTAATAACACATTTTATATGAAAAATAAACAAAAATATATTAATTATATATTTTATAACATATTTTCACATTTTTCTGAGAGATCAGTAAATTTTCGAATTCCTGAAGGCCTTTACGAGCTTAATTACACAAATCTGTTTAAATTAATTGCATAATTCCATATAAGTTTCCTTTAGTATTTACTATACATTAAGACCGAAAAGTTTTCGGAAATTCTCATTTAAAATTCGCGCGCTGTATATTTTTCGATATTTTAAGTTTATGTAGTGTTTGGCAGCACTGTCCTTAATTACTATGCCAAAAATGAGCGCGATCTGTCAGACAGTTCGTTTACGGCAGCTGTTGAAACCAGTTCACCTCAGTAGGGCGTTGCGAAAAAAACAATGGAAAAAAATATTGAACAAAGAGTTTGCATCAAATTTTGTGTTTCGAACGAAATTTCGTGTGCAGAATCGTTGCGAATGCTACAAAAGGCTTATGGGGAATCAGTTTTATCGAAAACTCAAGTTTATGAGTGGTACAAAGCCTTCCAGGACGGTCGTACGACCGTCGAAGACATTTCGCAACGCACTACTGAGGTGAACTGGTTTCAACAGCTGCCGTAAACGAACTGTCTGACAGATCGAGCTCATTTTTGGCATAGTAATTAAGGACAGTGCTGCCAAACTACATAAACTTAAAATATCGAAAAATATACAGCGCGCGAATTTTAAATGAGAATTTCCGAAAACTTTTCAGTCTTAATGTATATGTATATCTTATTTTACTAAATTAAATGAAATTTAGTAAAGTTTTTGAACAAAAATAATGAAAAGAAAGTCTATCAATAAGCCGCTTATAGATGATCAATAAATCGGCTTATTGATAATTTACTACTCAATAAATCGGCCTATAGATGAGGGTTTAGTATTCGCGTATCTAGTAAATCTGTGTGTTGAGTTTGGACTTCTTTTGATCCAATTTTTGTTGAAGTGCAAATAATTAAGCTTCATATAAATTATTTTTTTTGTAATTAATCATATATATTATTATATTATGTTGAAGGAGCTGTTGCTTAAAATAATCCTTAAGTGAACATCAGTTTTTTTTTGTGTTTTTATAAATATTTTATATTTGTTAAAAGTACAAACTCATAAAATTTTAAGGTTTTTTTAATTTGATTCTTATGCGATTTTGCTTCGATATTTGACTATTCTTTTGGTGATTTATACATAAATTTATGTTCTTTGATAAATGTTTTACGAGCTTAGATAAATATTTTACTGCTTTTTTATGACTTTTAATAATTCATTTGATATTCACCGCATCAAAATAATTATGACGTGCTGTTTCGGTTAATTACTATGCAAAACTAAATATTTTAACATTTGGCTAATTTTTTTTAACAAATTTCTTTAAGCAAACAAAAGAAATATTTTAATATGAAACATTAAAAAATAAAAACAAAAAGTGGAACCAGCTTTTGTAGGTGGCAAAGACTTAGTCATGAGCAATGTTGCAACAAAAATGCCAAACTATAAGCCGATTTGGATTTGCTGATATTGGATTAAATTTTAGTATAAATAAAAGAGGTCGAGTTTTCAAATCAACAGAAACAATTTCACTTTCAAACTGACAAACAGAAACAAAACATCAAACTGCAAAATGCGTGCATTCATCGTGAGTAAAATGCAATCCGAGATTGTGCATAAAAATTTAAAATTATTAAATTTCAGGTCTTATGCTTTGTGGCTGCTGTTTACGCCGATAGTTTGGGCTACAACTATCATCCCGTAGATCACTCAGATGCCGGACTTTCATTTGGACCTGTTGCTGGCGCTCCAATTGGTGGTTTTGACAATGCTTCACCTTCTATTGAAGCTCCCTCATATGCTGCTCCCGCTGCAGAATTCAATAAAGAATTTTACAGTTATTCTGCACCCGAACACGAATTCGATGATGGTCAAGCTTCAAACCAAATTGCAAATTCCCTGAAACGTGCTCTTCGTGTTGTATTTATTAAGGGACCCGAAAATAGAGGACTTGAAGATGCTGCTCTCAATTTGGCTAAACAAGCTGCTGATCAACAGACTGCTATCTATGTACTTAACAAACAAGCTGATATTGGTGATTTGGCCAACAAGCTCAATGCAATCCGCAACAACAACAATCAGCGCCCAGATGTACACTTCGTCAAATATCGTACACCAGAAGATGCTGCCAATGCTCAACATGCAATTCAGTCACAATATGATTCTCTTGGTGGATCCTCACAGTCTCATAATGGTGGTGTTGCTCCTGTTATCAACTTTGCTTCACAGGCACCAGTAAGTGCTCCATCCTACCAAGTGCCTGGAAACTCATATCTACCAGCTTCTATTTTCCGTCGCCGTTTTTAATTTCCGTTTAAAATGGTCTAAGTAATTAAACTTTCGACTGATCTGTTAAAAAATTGTTATTTGTTAAAGTTGTTAAAATTGTTATAAATATATTTTTATTAATTAGTATATATCTAAACCTTTTTAATTCCAATTATTTGCTATTTCAAAGAAATTTTATAAATTCTAAACAAAAACTACATGCAACTAAGACTGTGAAAATTACATCAAGTCTAATTGAAACGGCACACAAAGACTTCTTGACAATTTAAATATATGAAAACGTCTTATCACAAAGAGTTTTTATCATCAGGCCATACTGATCAGAAGTAAGGCAGTTAAATTCACCCCTGATGAATTGCAGAAATATCAAAACATCGCCTTTGTAAGATATTCAAAATTCCCTGGTGTTCTGTCAATTTTGAAGTTTATGAAGATCTTTCTTTTGACATTATAATCAAGAGGTTTGATAAAGGTTAAATTAACTAAACTATTAAGTAAAATAGATGGTCACCCTTAACAATTCTTTAACTTCACTTAGTGATAGAAATGAGATTTGCCGTTCTTTGACATCTTAAAAAATATTTAGTCTACCAGGTTTTCCCAATTCATGAGGCGGTGAAATGAGGCACATCTTGGCAAAGGAGTTGAAACTCTAACTGCAACTCGAACTCCATTAAATAATAATTCGCAATTCAATTGTATTTTGGTTAACACCAGAATTTGTATTAAAAATTTTCGATTCGTGAATATCTTAGAATTGGTTTCCTAAGATTTCTTAATCAATTAGTATCACTGTTATTAGATACGTTCCTACAAAGTGTTATTTGTGTGATGTTATCTATAACTTTATTTTTGAGACGAACCCATACTATAATATAAATACTATAATATAAATAAGAAATGCATAGAATAGATATTAATTTAAGTTCTTGAATATGAATATTCAGATATTGGATAAGCTTGATCCCGATTCTTGCACAGAGAAAAGAAGATTCCTGAAGTTTATATAAGGATCTATAGCTTTTACTAAATTAATTAATTGAAACCAAGATTTTGAAACAAATACAAACAGAAATGTTCATGAACTAACAAATAGTCAGATTTTTGAATAGAACTATAGGAAACACATATTGTCGGATTGAATCATCTTTAATGTCTTACTGATGATTTAATGTGTATATAGTTAGACACATTTCCGAGCTCTATCAATGAAAACTACCAAATAATATATTTATTTAACTTTCCATTTTAAGATGTACATAATCAATATTCTTTCTTATATACCAGCAAATACTCCTACCATATATATCAAAAATTATGAATATAGTTTTATTAAGTTTGGCTAAGCAGAATACTATTATTCTCATTGGGAGGTCTTGCTATATGTTAGCATACAACCAAATTTTTATGTGCATATTTTGTCACACTTGTTCCACATGAGTTTCATTTCCATAAGTATCACCAATTCACAGGTCCTTGAATAACGTCGTCAATAAATAATGTAAGAATTATGTCAGCAAGTACTATATAAATCGATTCAATGAGTAGGTTTCACGTAACTTTGAATTTCTACTTTGATTTGAAAAATCACAAATATCTGATATATCTGAGCTAACACTAATAAGTTTTTAATTTAAATTAGCTTACTTATTCTCAGTTGAATATATAAAACAAAAAATATTTAATTTAAATAATTTTTATTTCGTTTCAAAGAATAACAATAACAAAGTAACAAAAATCAGTCCTCATTTAACAAAAAACGTGTATACCATTTTAGAAACGGCGGCGGAAAACAGAAGATGGCAAGTATGCATTACCAGGAGATTGGGGATTTGAATGAGAAACTGGAGCTTGTGATGCAAAGTTAAGTACTGGAGCAACACCACCATCATGAGCTTGAGATGATCCACCCAATGAGTCATATTGAGATTGAATAGCTCTTTGTGCATTAGCGGCATCTGCTGGTGTGCGATATTTGACGAAATGTACTTCTGGACGTTGGTTGTTGTTGTTGCGGATCGCATTGAGTTTATTAGCCAAATCACCAACATCAGCTTGTTTGTGGAGAACATAGATGGCAGTTTGTTGATCAGCAGCTTGTTTGGCCAAATTGAGAGCAGCGTTTTCAAGACCTTTGTTTTCTGGTGATTTAATGAAAATTACACGTAAGTTCTTCTTCAAAGAGCTAGCAATTCTTTGTGCGGCATTATCGTCATTGAATTCATTTTCAGGGGCTGAGAATGAGTAGAATTCCTTTTCCCATTCAGCGGATGGAGCTGGAGCATTGTATGAGGTTGGGCCACCGATTCCGCCACCGAGTGAACTGAGACCATTTCCGCCGAGTGAGCCACCACCGAGTGATCCACCACCGAGTGAGCCACCACCGAGTGAGCCACCACCGAGTGAGCCACCACCGAGTGAGCCACCACCGAGTGAGCCACCACCGAGTGAGCCACCACCGAGTGAGCCACCACCTAGAGAGCCACCTCCAATTGAACCACCACTTAATCCACCAGAACCTGGTTGAAATGATAATCCTGAACTGGAGTGACCTACTGGTCTGTAGTTATATCCCAACTTGTCAGCACACGCTACCGCTATTAAACCGAGTACAATAAAAGCACGCATTTTCTTGAGCTTCTGTTTCACTGTTTCTTCACGTTTGATTATTAAACTTAGAATGATTCCAATCTTCGATTCGTATCTCTTTTATATGCTTCTGCTACTGCACAATTTGCTTGAAATAAAATAGTTTGGTCACTCAAAATATTGTATTAAAAGCCATCATTTTTAACATAATTCCGCTATTAAAAGATTAAATATTTATCATAAACTTTTGTAGTTGTTGTCAGTGCCTTGGTGTTAACTAATTTCTTACGGTTTCAACCTTCTCTTGAGGAGATGATTCATTCAAATATAATTCATTATATTAAAATATGCGTGAAAATGTGTAGAATTCATATTTTGTTTATTAATTCAAATATTTTTGTAAATATATTTAAATTAGTTTCGTACTATGCCTATTTCTTCATGTCAGTGGATATATTAAAAATATTTTATGTAATTTACACCACGACAAAAGTTTTTTATATTAATGGTAATGAATAATAAATATGATTTCCTCATTATTATCAGTAACATAAGGGTCTATATGAGAAATTTAATAAAAAATCTGTAATAGTTTTATTTCTATAAAATGATATATAAAATTTGGTGATGCCCTTGACTTGAGAAATCTGTGAAAAGATTTTTTATCTATCTTTTGCAAAAAAAAAACAAAAAAAAACTGCCACATTTTAAAATATATCCTAATTTCCAAAACATTTTTTAAAAGTAATTTTCAAAAATGAAATATTTAATGTTATTGTTTTATAAAAAATTTGGAATCGTAACCAAAAGCTGGCCCACGCAGACTTATCCATATTAGCGGAAGTATATATTTGACTAAAACAAAACCTTTGAAAGTACTTACGTTCGTAAGAAATCCATTCTCTGTGAAAACAACTTGGGTTAACACAATAGATTCCTTTTATATTATTTTATTTAATTGAACTTTTGGCTGATCATGCAACTGTTTCGAGTATTACCAAATCAGCATCATCAGTGGTCTTGGAATTATTTTTTATATTTCATTATTCGTAAATCATTTTTTTAAGACTACAAGCACCATGGATTGAACTCGTGCCCTGCCAAATTTAAAGCTCAGAGTCAGTATTCATTAGCCAACTGATCCAAAGCCGTACTTGGGCGTTTTTTGTTAACTAACTTTCAAAGTTCATTAACACTTCGCAACAACGGTCATATTCGAGATGATTTTTATCTAGATCGTCGGAGAAAATATCGATAGCTCTTTATGGTATATCTCGGCTTTGTATGTTAGACACAGCAAAAACAGGAGCAGATGATAATGTCCTAATATGTTTTGCTAAATTCCGACATTCGTTCCATAAAATATAGACACAGGATCTATGACTATTACACTGTATTTGAAGTGAGATCTTTAACGTAATAAACTTTTATTTCAAAGGCTTGAAAGGATTTGAAGCGCAAATGTCATAAACTTTAACCTCTATTCAATAAATGTTTCAGTTGAATTTGCAAAATTTTGTGCCGCCGCAGCTATTAAAAATAATGATTTACTCGTTGTGAAACCTGCTTGTAAATTTGTGAAAATAATATCATTAGAATAGGTAATATGTAGACAAATATAGCAAAAGTATTATCTGAATAGATCTCTCAAATATTTCGTAAAACTAACCGTCTTCTCACAACTTGGTTGCATTAGGCCACCAAAACTCTTCGGAGAGGTTGGAGTGAAAAGTATTGATTTGGCCCTGTGATCTTATAAAAATCGATGCTATATACTGTCATAACACTATTAACCTTTCTTATATATTAAAAATATAAATTCAGTATATTTTAACTTAAATTTATTACTATTTTAAGCAAAATTTTAATACTAAATTGTTACTAAATTCTTCAAGAAAAATATTCACTAATTCTGTAGTTCTTTTTATATAAACAAAACTTGGAATTTTAAATTAATTACTTTTAATGGCTCATATAACCATATAACCATGACTATATAATGCATAGTCTGATATAATGAATCATACAATATAACCGGGCAATCTCACTAAATACATAGAACAATTACTTGTCAATTCCTTTATCTCTTCCACCATTTCCTAATATCAACTTTTTTATTTAAACCATTTTCAAGCGCTTTTGATGAAGATAACAACTTTTCACCACCCATCAATATATGCTATAAAGCATTATAGTATTCCTAAATACTCTAAGTAGTATCGGATAACTATTTCTCTAAACCGAGTATGCGAGTGAGTGAACTTAATTCAGAACAATTCTTATTGATCCAAAAGAACTAATGCTGTTATTATAGATTAATAATCTTAATTATTTAATTTGTAGAATAATTGATACTAGAAATGGGTTGTCTGAAGCGATCATACTTGCAGTACCGATATTCTTTTTTATCCAATTGAACTTATTCCACTATATTGGTATAAGAGTAAACAATATATATACAAAATTTAAAATAATGAATGGATAAGGATAAAGGGATATATAAATATAATATATCCTGACATTATTATTTTAACAATTGTTGGCCGCAGTAAGTGGGAGTTTTAATCCTTACGAAATTTCTACAGAGGACTTACATTAATTAAATTAAAGAAGAATGTAGTAAACTCTGAGAGTAACCAAGGACTTTCACACAAAAAAGAGAAAAGATTATAGAGCGATTACAGAATAAAAGTCATAAGATGTATAAGTGTTATATTATCTGACTTCAATATATTTAAATTAAAAAGAGAGTCGTATATTTGTACCCTTTTAACACTTTAAAAAGGTGGAACCAATGTTCCTATACATTCTAGGTTAATCACACTTGTACCATTTCAATGTGAACTCAATATTTTCTTTAAAGTCATTAACAAAGAATATTGCTCTTCTCTACTCACGCATTCTGAGTAGTGAAAGAAATCTATCTTAAGTTCTGATAAAGAATCATAGAAAATAAATATCTTAAACAAATATTTAATTTATGTGGAAATTAATATGAGAATAATGACATAATTTAAATACACCATCTTTTATGTATTAAAAAATTTTTTTATTATTGATTAAAAAATTTAACTATTTTTTTATGGCTTAAACTTTACATGTAAAAATAATCAACAAAAACTTAACAAATCAGTCAAAGACTCAAAATTATTCAATAAATTTAACTAAAATTTAGAGGCGTGTACGGAAAATGGATGCTGGCAAGTAGGCATTACCTGGGGCACGTGCAACTGGAGCGCTGACAGGTGCTTGTGAGGCAAAGTTAATAACAGGAGCAACACCACCATTGTGAGATTGAGTAGATCCACCCAAAGAATCATACTGAGATTGAATTGCTCTTTGTGCATTGGCAGCATCTTCTGGTGTACGATATTTGACGAAGTGTACATCTGGACGTTGGTTGTTGTTGTTGCGGATTGCATTGAGCTTGTTGGCCAAATCACCAATATCGGCTTGTTTGTTAAGTACATAGATGGCAGTCTTTTGTTCACCAGCTTGTTTAGCCAAGTTAAGAGCAGCATTTTCCAAGCCTTTGTTTTCTGGTCCCTTAATGAAAATCACACGTAGACCGCGTTTTAGTGAGTTAGAAAGTTGTTGGGAAGCTTGTGGGTCATCGAACTCATTATCTGGAGCTGAGTAAGTGTAAAATTCCTTGCTGAATTCCTCGGCGGGTGCGGCATATGAGGGTGCTTCAATTGATGGTGAAGCATTGTCAAATCCACTTAAGACACCACTGCCACCTGGAGAAAATGAAAGTCCAGAACCGGAATGATCAACTGGCCGATAGTTGTAACCTAATTTGTCAGCATAAACGGCAGCCACCAAGCAAAGAATCTGATAATCATAACAAATTAAAATATTAATGTAAAATAAACATAGAAGTTTTCAAAGTAAACACTTAAAAGGTACAACTTACAAGGAATGCACGCATTTTGCAAATAACTGATTGACTTGTTAGAAATGAAATAAGTTTCTGAGGAAAAAATTTGCGAACACTAGTATTTATACCAAAGTCAACAGATTATACCGAACTGTGTCATTGCGAATTTTATCAAGTTCACTGAAACTGAAATTGGTTTTATTGTATATCGAACATGCGTCACAGCGCAAATCTTCAGCAACCAATAAAGATTCTTCGACAATAGGCGAAATGATAAATGAAGCTAGTAACGACAAAGCGATGAAAATTAATGGCGCCAATATGATGTGTCTGCAGTCTGCCGCTCTCCAATAGTTCGGTAAGCATTTATTAAAAGATCTATTTATGTAAATATATGCAGACACCTTTCTTATCAAAGCAGTGCATCAATCGGATCACCGGCGTCATTAATTGTTGTATGCCGATTAGTGCACAAAATATGTACACAAAACTCGAACTGAGTTTACAGAGTTTAGCCGCATTGCCGTAGGTCTAGTAACTATACATATTTCCATTGTGGGATTGGTTTACTTATGAATAATATTAAATAGTAAACTATTAAACATATCTGCATACATTTTAGGAATTCCTAAATACTGGTATTTCGATAGAGTAACATCTTCATTGGATTGTATATCTACTTATTAACTTATCAGGGTCAGATAGATTTTTGCAAAAGCTTTAAGTGGCTCTTTTGAAAGCATGTGTGTCCAATCTTAGTAATTAAAAGATTTATGAGATAAAATAATAATAAAAATTATATAATAAACTTATTTAATAATAAATGAATCTGTATTCGCATATCCAACAAAATATTTTGTTTAAATATTGCAAAAAAAAATAAATTTTGTTATTAAAATTAAATTAATTAAAACTATTAATTTAATGTATTTCAATTTTGTCCTCATGTATTTTCTTTTTATTTTATTTTATATTATTTTAATTTATTTTATTTTATTTTTTTTCTTTTGTTCTGTTTTTATTTTATTTTATTTGTTTTTATTTTATTTTAAGTTGTTTTATTTTATTTTATTCTTCATTTTAATACTTTTTTTGTTATATTATAATTTTATTTTGTTTTGTTTTCTTTTCGTATTTTTATTTTATTTTTTTTTATTTTAATTTATTTTAATTTTTTTATTTTATTATTTTTATTCTATTTTAATTTATTTTATTTTATTTTATTATATTTTTTATTTTATCCTCTTTTACTTTATTTAGTTCTTATTTATTTTATTTAATTTTATTTTGTTTTACTTTATTTTATTTGTTCATTTTTTTTATTTTAATTTATCTCACACTTATTTTTTGTTTTTATTTCTTTTATTATTTAATTTTATATAATTTTATTTTAATTTTATTTTAATTATTTCATTTTTGTTTAAATTATATTTTTTAATGCTAGTTACTATATCTTCGTTTAAATAATTGTAATTATAATATATATATATATATATTATATATATATATATATATATATTATTAATATATATATATTATATATATATTATAATATATATATATAGGTATAGTAAGTAAGAGTATTCGGCTTGCCAAATATGAATCTGGGTAAATATCAAATTCTCTGGAAATAAACTTATTGTTTTTAATTTTATCTATTACAAATTAAAAAAAAATATCAGTATTATAATGTATTAAAAGAAATGTAAAAAGAAAATATTTTATAATATATAATATAAAATTTTATTATACAAAATAATAATAATTAGAATATTATATATATATTAATTATTATATGCATAAAATAGCAGAAGTAAATATTGATTTCAAATATTAAAATTTATTAATAATTTTTAAATCAATTAAGCTTGAACATATATGATTTCTTTCATTTTTGTTCCTTGTTAAACCTACTTATTACTACTGAGGCATATAGTGAGTGTAATAAAATCTTTATCATTCTTAAGGGCCAGTTTTATATTTCTTTCCCATTTTGTCCTTTTCTGCTCTCTACCTGTAAAACTTTATCTCCAATTATTAGTTTTGAACAGCCAGCAGGTCTCCTTTCTTCCAAAATGGTGCTATTATTATTGTGACCGTTTTAATTATTTAATTGTGTTTATATGCGAGTGTGTATGTGTCATTACGTCTATTAGTAAATATTGAACTACTCAAAATTATATTTATTATTTTTAGATAATTTTAAATAATTTTAAAACTGTTTGTGATTTGAAGTTGACAAGAAACTCTCTATTCATCTAAACACTGATATATCTGTTCCAATACTTATAAAACAGGAGCTACTTAAGTAATAGATAATAGATAATTTTCGTTAAGTTAGGTTAGGTTGGACACATCTGAAAACTTTCTTTTGTTTATTTATTATTCACGCTACATAGTAGATATTTCTATTCATCTTTTTCAAAACCGTAGAAAATAGCCGACGGGTCAGTTGACAGCATTCCGCCCTTGAATTATGTATCGCTAGATATTCGGTGTCTCGTTAGTCATAAAGCGCCGTATTAACATTATAAAGCTTCACTAATTGTGGGCTATAATCGCTCATTACAATTTTTTATACTTTTATGATTATTAATTAAAATATTTCTTAAGTTATGATTTATTAAGTGGTTATACACATTGACATTAATATGAAAATTGACTGAAATTAAAAGAAGTTAAAAAGAAGTTAAAAAGAAAACAAAATTTTTTATATATTTTATTTCTATTTTTTATATTTCATCTTTATTCTCTTTATTTCACACATTTTATTAATATTATTAAGTTTATCTGGAAACAGATTTTAAGATCTAATCATTAAAATATGTACGGCGCCATCCGTGTTTCAGATTTATTGTCAGTTGACTTGAGATGTGGAGATATGTGTATCGAATAGAATGTGCAAAATATTTTTTTAAGCAATTTTTAATTTTCATAAATATCTATTTGTATAACTTTTATATCTTTTTAAAAAAATTAAAATAGTATTAGCTCTACTTATTATGTCAAATAAAACTTTCGACAGTTCATTTTTGTACATGGAGGACTTAAAACGATATATAGAGAGTATAATATCTTGTGGCGTATTTATACGGTAATGGAATATGCACTAACAGTTCTTTTGAAATAATGGGAAGAACAGATGGAAAGAAATAGAAATGATTTTAAAAGGAATATACAAGTTGCATTTAATATGATTAACAACCCCTCAAGTATTTTGGATTTTTTGATGAATATAAGATCAGTAGCATTACCTGTATGAGTCCAACTTAAAATAAAATCGAACTAAGCATAAAAATAATGAATATTTGACAGACTAAAAATGTTTATATTCAAAATATTTATAAAAAGAATTTGTAAAAATAAAAATGTTATTTAATCGTCTACGAATAATGAAATATGGGTCTACGTTTTACTTAACAATCAAAAAACTTTTTAAAAGCGCTGTTCCGAAATATTTCAGTTACCTCAACGAATTTTGTTCTATGGTTTCGATTAATTCTAAACATTATCCATGTAGATGGTAAAGGTTCTATAGAACGAATGTGGAAATCAGAGCACGCTGAGATTTTTAAAATTAATTGCTTACTAAGCCTCTTAGTACTTATAAGTAAGCCTTCATTACTAACTCATTTATATATATTTATAGATAATATATATAAATGAAGAATTTATATTTTCTATTTTACTTTAAAATGTATTAATTATGTTATATGATTGTAAAATGAAATTATATTAATGTATATATGCTAATATTATTTCCATTTTATTTTTTTGAACAATCAATTTCTTATTAATATAGTGTGATTGAATTGAAATTAAAATTAGATTGTTTTATTTCTCATTTATCAGTTCTTGATGGTCATCTTCGTTGTGAATTGTATTCGGCTCTAAAGCCTCAAGAATTTCAGTTACATATGCACTTTTTCACTGAGTTTACATTTTAGTTTTGGATAGCATTTTCACTACCAACCATTGTAATCTATCTATTATAACGACTTCTAGGACGTCGATGCTTTGTGGGTTCTATTTTAACGAGATTCTTGCGGTATCATTTACGAGTTTTCAATTTCGTTTGGATAACTTAGCAGCTGACCGTATATGACCTATTGTAGCCAAGAAATGCTTGATATTAGTTAGTTTAGAACTAAATTTTAATTAATAATTTTAAGTACGAAACAGTTTTTTTTTTTTTGAAATTATTTTATTTATTGAATTAGGGAAAAATACAAAAATGAATAATTAATGCAATATATAATTTTTGTAAGCTTTTATTGTATCATAAATATATTAACCATAAAAGAAATAACTGCATAAATTAATAACGACGATCTGTAATAAAAATCCAAAATAGAAGTTGGCATTTAGGCAACTTTAACCAAATCAGGCATTTGCATAAAATTGTATATTAACCAAAGCAGTGCGTTTATGATGAGCTGCACAAACACAATTTGGTTATTTTGTCAATTTTGCCAATAACATTAAAACATATATATGTATATCATTAAATAATGTAATATATACAAATTTATATACATAAACAATAAAGCGTATAAGGTTTTTTGTCAGAAACCTTGTTGTTAGTTGGAGCGATGTTTATATATAATTTGTTGGCATGTGACATTGTAACCACAGCGATCTGCTGCTACCAAGTCTTCAAAGATTTTGTGCAGCGGAGCCGGATTCAGGTAACTGAATCAGGAAAGACAGGTTTTTGTTCTTTAAAAACAGAAAATAAGTTCAAAAACAGTAGGCTTTCTTAATTACAATGACAGGGGCACACACATGAATATGTAACACTAAAACTGAAGGTAAGGTCGGAAAACTCAACTGAATTCTGATGAAATTTACTGACTTTATAGATTATATTTATAAAATTATTCTATCGCAACATTAAAATTCATGTAATTCGAGTGTAGATGCAGATAAAAATAGAAGATTGTTGTTGCAAGACTATACTTGGCTTACCTCATGTTAGCGTCAAATCTTATCATATCTTGAATACTTTTATATGAAAACTGGTTGAGTAAGGCATTATTTGTTCAAATCTT